CCAGCAGGTGTTTGGTGGGTTATGAGTGTGAGGGTAACATTTTAGGTAATTGCCATGCTAGTGTCTCATTTACACGATGAAGCCTTTCTCTGTTCTTAACTGTCCCAGGTGAAAGGACTGAATGACAGAACAGTCTTCATTTGCTTAGGGTTGCACTCAGCACCCTGGGTTGGAGTAGGTCTATAATGTGACCACCTGGGAGAGGGCAGCTATCTTTGCCAAATATGTCATCAATACATGCACCCACGCACGCAGTGTTGGGGATGTAGCTCAGTACATGGAGTGCTAATCCAGTATGCCTGAAATCCTGGTTTTTGTCCTTGGTACCAAATAAACCAAACATGATGGCTCATGCTTGCAATTTCTTGGCTAAATATGGAGTTCAAGTCCAGCCCAGGTTACATGAGACTCTCCTTCTAAAACAGAACAAACCATCCACAAGCAAACTATCTTCCTAACTGCTTCCTTCCTTGGTCTTTGGCTTGATTCCTTGACCTTTCTAATCTCCAATCTCCCCTTTATTCCTTCCCATAAACAAGGGGTGGAGGGCTGTGGAATATGGACTAGATTGTTCAGTAGTTTCTTTTGGCCTTCACGGGGGTCTAGATTGTAACCCAAGAGTTTAAGGGAAATTGTCAGTCAGCCCTACCAATTGGAGTTGACTGGCAATAAGAATGCCACCTTAAAGAATGTTCAAATTCTTGGCAGCTTCTTCTAAAGGGCTGAGTTCATGATATCCACCTTGGAGATTTGAGTTTGTGGAGCCTTAGGGGGGCCACTCTGAGCTAAAGATAAGGGTGTATTTGTAGAACAAAAGGAGTCAGGAGGATGGCTAAACAGCAATCGAGAGGTGATTTTTGGATGCAGTTGCAGCCAGGTTGTTTCCAAGGAGTATCATATTGAAGCAGTTTTACCTTATGCTCATTTACCTATGGTTGCAAGCTGACCACTTCAAAAGACTCAAGAAACAAGAATGAGTTTGGCTGTGTCCTTCCCATTCCATCTACACCTAGGAATCAGGGAACCCTAGGGGGATTAAGTCAACTTCCTCTTGCCTATCTGGTAGCAAAGGTGACTGGAGAACTTAGTCTTTGTTCTGGACACTCACTACATTGTTAGCACCTGGGCAGGGAAAGTGTTCATTTGAGACTGCTTAGCTGCCACCTGCCTGAGGGCTGACCTTAAATCAAGGGATTTAAACATCTCCTTAGTTACCAATCAGATCACAGGAGATGACCACTTCAGGATATACATCCATTGCTGTCTGGAGTCTTTAGCTGGGGACATTTTTGTAGACTCCTGGAAGTTTCCCTTGTGTCAGGCTTCTACCTGACTCTGTAAAGCTCCCTCCCCTTTCCAGTCATCTCTCTCAGCACTTTCCCCCTCTGTCCACTCCCATCCCATGCCCACAGGCCCCTGGTCAAACCAGATCTCCTCTATTTCCCCTTCTGAGGGAGATCTGGGTGTTCCCCCATGAACTCCCTTGTTATCTAGCTTCTCTGGGCCTAGGGATTATAGCCTAGTTATCCTTTATTTTGCAGCTAATATCCACTTACGAGTGGGTACATACCATATTTGTTTTTCTGTGTCTGGGTTACCTCACTCAGGATGTTTTGTTTTTTGTTTTTTGTTTTTTTCTAGTTCCATCAACTTGCCTGCAAATTTCATGATGTCATGTTTTTTAAACAGCAGAGTAGTACTCCATTGTGTGAATGTACCACATTTTCTTTATCCATTCTTCAGTTGACGGACATCTAGGTTGCTTCCAGGTTCTGGCTATTGCAAATAAAGCTGCTATAAACATAGTTGAGCAAGTGTCCTTGTGCTATGATTGAGCATCCTTTGGGTATATGCCCAAGATTGGTATAGTTGGGTCTTGAGTTGGATTGATTCCCAGTTTTCTGAGAAACAGCCATATTATTTCCAAAGTGGCTGTACAAGTTTGCACTCCCAGCAGCAATGGAGGAGTATTCTCCTTGCTCCACATCCTCTCTAGTATGAGCTGTCATTTGTATTTTTGATCTTAGCCATTCTGACAGGTCAAATCTCATTGGTTTTGATTTGCATTTCCCCTGATGACTAAGGACAATGAACATTTCTTTAAGTGTTTCTCTGCCATTTGAGATTCTTCTGTTGAGAATTCTCTGTTTAGGCCAGTACCCCATTTTAAAAATTGGATTACTTGGTTTTTTGACATCTAGTTTCTTGAGTTCTTTATATATTTTAGAGGCTAGCCTTCTGTCAGATGTGGAGCTGGTGATGATCTTGGTTGTCATTGGAGAGCCTTCATCCATTGACTGATGGAGACAGATTCAGAGACCTATGGCCAGACCTTGGGCTGTGCTGGGGAGTCTTGAGGAGAGGGGGGAAGGATTGTAGTAAACAGTAGGGTTAAGAACATGGCAAGAAGCCCACAGAAACCAATAATCTGGCTCTTGGGAACTCAGAGTCTGAACTAACAACCAGGAAGCCTGCATGGGACCCACCTAGGCCCTCTGTATATATGTGACAGTTGTGTAGATGGCCTATATGTGGGACTCCCAGCTATGGGAGCAAGGGCTGTCCCTGGTGCTTTGACTGGCTCTCGGGAACGGGAACCTCTTCCTTATGCTGGATTGCCATGCCCAACCTGAATACAGGGCAGGAGGGGGTGCTTGGTCTTATGGCTGCTTGATATGCCATGCTTTGCTAAAGGCCACAAGAGACCTGCCCCATTTTGAGAGTGGTAGGTGGTGGGGGGCGAATGGGAGGAGGGGGAGTGGGAAGAGGGGAGGATGGTGGTCGGGATGTAAAATAAGTAAACTAACAAAAATAATAATAAAAGAAGAAGAGATTTAAACATGTTGAAAGCTAAAAAAAAAATAGAAGATTGGTCTCTACTGGTGCCATTCCCACTTTATTTTCCATGAACTCCCAGCAGTCTGTTCCTGAACTTTGAGGTGAAGGAATGCCACTGGACTGACTGGCTTGTAGGTCTGTCTGCAAAGTCTCAAGTGGGCAGCCAAGGACATGGCACAGTCCTGTAGTACCAGGTCATAAAGAAGCAAGCTCTGGGCCCGCCTGAACTACATAGGAAAACCCTGTCTCAAACAAAGAAAACAAACAAAACCAGTGGAAATTTTAACATGTGTCCAGGTGCACTGTAATTGCTGGGGATCAGGAATATCTCCTGGCAAGGATGCACCTTCACCCATCCCCTGCTTCCAGCTCTGCACCCTGCAAACTCAGTGAGGGGGATCCTTCCCGGAGACACGTACACTCGATGTTTTTCCTTGTCAGCCAGTCCACTCATATTTCAGGAGGGGAGCAGGACTCTCCCTTGGGCATTCTAGGGTGTCACCTCTGGCATTTGCTCTCACTGCAGAAAAACAAGTTCAAGTGCAATGCACCGGGTTTCTGAACAACTGCCTGAACACAGACACCAGTCGGTCAGCAAAGCTGTCTTGGGGCCGGGGGCAGGCTCTGGGGGGTGGTGGTGGTTTGGGAGGGTGGGGTGCAGGAATGGGGGTCAGAGCCTGGAGGTCTCTAAGGCCTATTAGCCAGGTGGGAGACTGCGCTCCATCCAGGTCTCCTGGGCTCTCCAGGCTGCTGGAGAAGGCGGAGGTCCCGGGCGGGGCAGGCTGGGTTGGGAGCAGAGCAGCTGCGCCCGCCGCCTGGGAGCCGGCGCCCTCCCAGCAGAGCATGCAGGACGTGCGCGACGTGTGGCAGCCTCTGCGCAGACTTTTCCACTGCAGTGTGGGGTTCCGCGAGCGCCTCCAATCACAACCCAGCTTCATCGCGACGTGTGCAGCTCGCCGCTAGGCAGGGCAGGGCGCGCTTCTGTGCCGAGGCTTCGCTCGCTAAAGGCACATTTAAAGTGTCACGACTCCCTGCCAAAAGACCCCCCGATTGTCACTGAATGAATGGCTTCTGGCAGTTCACTGCAGGCCTGTCATGTATCACCAGCCTATGCAAAGAGCGAATATCGGGAAAGGAAGAGAGAACATGTTCACATCCAACTAAAAGTGGCAGGGTGTGCGGGAGGAACCGATATGAATTTAGGATCTGGCTACCCCTCGATTATAAGCCTCGGTTTGTTGTCCGGTAACGAAAGTGGGAATGGGCTCTACTTTTTATTCATTACGTGCAGGGAGAAAGATCTCTGGAATATAGTTGAAAGGGAAAAATGAAGATATCAACTGCTCCACTCTACCACCAAGTTCCTTTTCTTTCGAATTTCCTTTACCTTTTTGTCCCCTCCAAGTGCCCAGCAAAGCGGGACTGCGTGAGAGGGTGGCAGCACAGCCCAAACAGGTTTCTAGGGGATTGGGGGGGGGGAGTGCCTGTGCGCGGAGATGGCAGTGACAGCATTGTCAGGGGACATAGTGGGCAATGACGCACAGGTGTTAACAGGAGGCAGTTCTGACCTGGGTCTTCTCATGGACTGTCCCGACCCCTAAAGCTTGTGACTGTGCTGCTCGTTGTTGGGGCCCCACTGCTTGAAAGGCCAATTGGGTAGATAGATAGTTTTTAAACATAGCATCTCGAGATGCTTTCACCTAGCACCAGCTGTGTGTGTGAGAGGTTGGGGGGGGATGCTGACGACAGACCACATCGGTCATTACCAGGTCCCTGCTCCCTTAAAAGCCCAGCTGAGGGAAGTGGCTACAATTATTTAGGGACTCGGTGCTTGGTGCCTTTAGGGGATAGGCTTGGGGGAGTAAGAGGACGAAAAGAGCCAGTCTGGGTTGTAGGAACAGAGCGTGCTGCCTTCGCCCGCCCGCAGGGGGCGGCAGTAGGCTGTTTCTTGGCCTTGCCCACCCTTCCCTCCACGTGAAAGGGGGCTGGGACGCAAAGAATGCGGCCCGCCCCGAGGCTGACGCGCCGCATTACCGGTCAGATCTTAAAAGGCCGGGCAGTGCGTGTGGCATCTCGATAGAGCAAGAGAGGAGCTAGTGGCAGTGCTGGGTGGCGGGAGCGCGGCTGTCACTGCGCTGGAGCATCCCTGAGCTTCTGAACAGAGCGGATCAGCCAGCCAGCGGTGCGCACAGCCTCAAGCCCGCGCCGATCTCATCCGTCTCGTGTCTCCGCTCAGGCGATCTTCCAAGACTTCGCACAAAGCACGTTTTCCAAAGCAGCGCAAGGGAGCGCCCAGCCGCGTGCAGGCGGACGCACCCTTCCTGTCCTTTGTTCCGGGGGGATCTGCAACTGCTCTTCTCCCCAAGTCGGAGACTCTTCTCCCGGGGTGGTGGGTCGCCGAGTGCAGCTACGAAAATGCCTTTGGAACTGACCCAGAGCCGGGTGCAGAAGATATGGGTGCCTGTCGATCACCGACCCTCGTTGCCCAGAAGTGAGTGCAGCTGCGCGGGGGGCTAGACTGCAGACTGAGCCGCGTGCAGAGCCCGGCCATTGTGTGCGCAGCGGCTTTGTGCCGTTTCCCCTCTGCGGGAAGCGCACTCATGCCGGCCGGCGGGGCGAGGCGGGGGTGGCGGCGGGCTGCGTCTCCCGGACTCGGCTGCAGGGGCGCTGTGGCTCCAGTGTGCCCGGCCTGGCTTGAGATCACGGAGCCAGCGCCTCCCAGAGGCTGAGAGGACCCGGCGCCCGACTGCTGCTGGGCGCGGCCGTTGTCGCCACCGCCCCTTTTCTTTGAGTCTTCTCAGGTTCCTTCTCTCCCTCTCTTCCTCCCTCGTATCTTTCTGCACCTCTGAATATTTCCATGTTCACCCTCATTTCCTCGATTGCAGGCTCTTAGGTTTTGGGGATGGTCTATGAGTTTGGCGACTGCACACTGGTGGTGTTACACAGGCGCACTCATTTACCCGGAGCACAGAATGTGCTGACGGTTTGCCTTCGAGCCCCACCTGTTGCTGTCGGTAAATGATTTGGGAAGGTTTCGTTCAGTTCTATCTCTAGCTGGGGAAGGGTGCCTCTGGAACGGACGGATGGAATTGCTCTAAGGAGATGTCTCCTCTCTAGGCAGCGCGCCCAGGAGCCCATGGGGGTGGATAGAGGTGAGCTGTCTAATGGGCATGTTGCTCAGACCACGTTTGTAGCTTGAGATGTAACCATGGAATCCAACGACAAAGCCGGAGGTGGTTTCCTGTCACCTTGGGGATACTTGAGCAGGGTGCTGCAGGGTAGGCGTTTTCACTGCCACGTTTTACAGGATGACCACCATAGGACATGGCAGCTCTTTTGGAGCAGTGCATGCCTGAGTCACCAGCTTCCCTGTGGTGCAGTTTGAGACACCTCCAGCAGGTCTTCTCTGCTGGACCTGAGGGCGTTGGTGGAAACCCTACCCAAGACGCTTCTCCTTTTCTCTTTTGGACTTGGCAGGTCTTCTTTTCCCCCAGCCCTGGTGACATGTTTATACACTGGAGCTGCCTTTATAAAAATGCCCCAGGGAAGAGACAAACCGGGTGGCACACCTATAATCTCACTGAACTGTAGCGTGGTAACTGAGAAGGAAGGCTGAGGTTAAGAGACTCGTGAACCTGGACTACAGAGGGAAATTCTGCCCAATAAACAAACAAACAGCAAAAACAGGGAAAGTCGGTCAGGACCAAATCTAAACCCCTGTCCCTTCTGAACTTCTTAATAAGGCAAATTACAGCTTATTTTTGGACTGAAATTGGCCACACATAATAAGGGCTGGGTTTCATGTGTGTGTGTTCTTCCCTTGTTTGGGTCTTCAGGAACCATGGCAATTTTTGTAAGGATCCCTAAGTTCAGTGGGGTTGGCTGAGTAGTGACACTGAGGGACATCACGGTGCATCTGCTGCCCCTCCCTCCCTCCACCAGGCTTCAGAGCCTGGTCACTGTATTCCATGAGCTTGCACATCTGTCACAGAGTTGAGAGATTTGCTGTCAGAGCCATTCAGAACTGGAGGTGTGCATCTGAAGCTGCCTGATTAAGGTGAGCAGCTCACCCAGTTGTGGAATTGTTGTATGTGATACTGGGGTGTAGCCTCGGCCACATTCCTTCACATACAAATATCTGCAGCCAGGGTGTTTAGTGCATATTCATATTTTTTAGTGTTGCCTTTCTGACTGCAATGGAGAAAAGAAATTACTTCTTCTGTACTGACATTGGAAATCTTGTAGACTTTCCTTTTTGGAGACAATGTCTCTGGGATAACTGGCCTAGAACTATGTAGACTGGGTTGGCAACCCCTCAGATGGGAGTTGAAGTATGTGCTGCCACACCCAGCCTATTTTGTGGATTTCTATCACCTAAACCTTTTTTTTTTTTTTTTCCCAGACACGATCGGACTTGATTGTGGTGTGGAGATGACCTTGAACATCCGATCCTCCTGTCTTATTCCCCATGTCTAGATTATTTGGTGCTGGGGATTGAACCCAGAACTTTGTGAATGCTGGGCAGGGACCCTCCTAACTGTGCTATAGCTCAAGTCTGATGTGGTCTCCACATCAGAAGTTGTCAGTCAATGCCTGAGGCTTATTGCTAGAGGGCATGGAGAAAATTGTCCAGATAAAACTAAAAGAATAATCAGAGAGCAAACAAATCCTAAATGCCAGATGTGGTGGTGCACACTTTTAATCCTAGCACTCAAGAGTGAGGGGCAGGCAAGATCTATGAGTTCAAGGCTAGTCTGGTCTCCATAGCTTGTCTTGAAATTAAGAAAACAAAAAACAACCACCACCACCACAACAACAAACTCCCTATGATATGTTTGTGAAGCACAGTAATTCAATGCCAAGGTTCTTTACTAACATTATGATAAAAGCTTCTTGCAAAAGTGGAAGCTTCTGTCAGTTTAAGCCACAATACAGGGAGACTTTACTATATTTGCAAATTAGCTTAAGAGGTCTTCAGTTCTCTTCTAACAAGAAAGAACTGCCTTTCCTGTTACCTGCACTGGAAAATCTATAGCCTGCTACATAGTTGGGTGCAGTTACCTGCTTGGAAGCCAAGTTTCCTTAGTTCCAAGAAGGTTATGTTTTTGTATATTTAATGTATCTGGGTTGTGAGCTATCCCAGCCTTGGGCAGTGTGATGGGTGGCTTGGGATATAGTAGATGTAGGATAGGTACAAAGATCCCATCCTTAATGGAGCAAAAGGACATTAAAACTGACTGCACAGAGTGACCTTAAACAGCAGCTACAAAAATCTCTCTCCTTTTTGAGACAGGGTTTCTCTGTGTAAGAGCTCTGGCTGTCGTGGAACTAGCTCTGTAGACTAGGATGCTTTGAACTGACTGAGGTCCACCTGCCTCTGCCTCCCAAGTGCTGGGATTAAAGGTTTGTGTCACCATCGTCCAGCCCCAAAAGCTTCTTCTTTAAAAGTATTTACTTACTTACTATGATGAAGAGGGTAACACATGTTGTGGGGGTCAGAGGACAGCTTTGTGGAGTTGGTATGCTCCTATCCTTAAGTGGGTTCTAGAGATTGAATTTAAGTCCTCTGGCTTGTGAGGCAAGCTCCTTTGCCCACAAAGCCATCTTGCCAGTCCTCAACTTTTTAGTTTTCCTAAATACATGGCAGAAGATACCAATTCCTCTTTGGTTAGGATTTAGACTGCATTGAAGGAAGGTGGGTACCTTATAGAATTCTATCTTGTTGTTGCCCAGCCAGGCATATTTATAGCAGTCATTTCAGGTGAGTTATGTGGCAGTTCACTGTCACAGTATCTGAAGCATGCCACTATTGTACAGAAAAGGAAAGGAAGACACCAAGAGATGAAAGTGCAAGATCCAACGTGGTTATGAGTCTTGGTCTTTAGCTCTGTATACTGGGCTTTTGGCACTAGCACTGCTATTTTATGTTGTCTTACCTCCCAAAGTTAACACTGAGTCACTTAGATACCCCATTGCAATATACGGCGGAGATATAGGGTTGTGAAGTTCGAGGCCACTCACTGGGCATTAGATTAATTAGCTATTAGGAGACAAGGGGTCCATGGTAAGCAGTGCATGTACACTGTAACTATGAAGGAGAGCTTCTAAAAGAAGTGTCTATTACCTGTATTCTCCCTTCTTACGTATCTCGTATCTCCAGGTACACTCTGCTGAGGCAAGCTCTCTTCCTATTACCCCATCAGACTTGGAGGATGCTGTAGGCCAATCTGATGATGACAGGAGATACGCTATCATCTGGTGAACAACCCTGTGGTGTACATTGCCTTCTGTTGCTGGCTTTTTTATGTTTTGAGAGCCAGGCAGATTAAACCCATTTCAGTGAGATCTTAGGTGTGGTAGTATACCTATACGGTCAAAGTAGGTCTCCTGTACACCTCAGTTTTGCCTTTTTTGATGGAAGTAGATTGAGGTAGTTTCTGTGGAAAGGCCTAACCTCAATTCTCTTAAGACAGTTGGGAAGAGGGGTCCCTTTGGCAGGGTTCACAGCTGTCTGTGCTAGACAAGTCCTTCTGTGTTTTTCCCTTGAGCTTGTAGTAGAAGCATAACATACATGTTTGCACAAAAGGATGAAGAGGACTTAGCATTCTCTTCTAATGCTAACATTTTGCAAAGTGCGTGGGTAGAGCCAAGTATAGGTGAAGTGTGGGGGCCACAACCAAGGGTCTTCCCAAGTATATTTTCAGAAAACAAGTTGTGGACATCAGATGGTGGGATGATTGAAGTCATGCCTCCACCTGGTCACACATTATCGAAGATATTAGTCACTTAATCTAGGAAGAAGTGTTGAAGAGAGGACTCAGGTGTGCCTCTTACTTGAGCTAGACAAGCACCGTTCAAGTTGGGGGTTTAACCACCTGTCAGGCTTTTCCTTCCCATAATTCGTTCTTCAGGCTCCCTATCCTGTAGCTCCCCAGCTGCTTTTCTGCTTTGTGTGCCGCAGGAAGCTGGCATAAGTAGCAAGACTGTGTTAAGAACTAACAATGGTGGACCTAGTATGGGCAGTCAGGTCTGAGCTCCAAGGTACTGCTCAGGAATGCTGACCTCCGTTTATCCACGAGTCATTTTTCCCATCCAGCATCCAGAGCACTGGTCTCATGGGTATGTGAGCAAACAAGCCTGATGGCATTATAGAGTGCTGGCTCAGCCCTTGGGACTTGGTGACTTTCCGTGACTCTTACTTAAGGAGCCATGGTCTTAACTATAGGCAATACTTTTAGTGTGAATCGTCCCAAAGTGCCACCGGGCCTAGCTCTCTTTGGACAATGCCCCCCCCCAATATTGGTTATTCTTCTCATTGCTGTAACAAAGGCACCCTCTGGAAGGAAATGTTTATTTTGACTAGTTTGAGGGTCCAGTCCATCGTGGATGGAAAATGGTGGTCATAGGTTTGTGCGACAGTTGAGTCTTTGCATCTGCAGGCTGGAAGCAGAGAGATCTGAAAGTTGGTGTTCATCTCCCTCTTTATTCAGGCCTACTCACAGCCATGGAATGGTGCCACCCACAGCTAGAGTGGGTCTTCCCACCTCAGTTAACCTGGGCTGGAGACATTCTCATAGATAGCCCAAGGGTGTGTTTCCATGGTGATTCCAAATTTAGTCAAGTTGATAAATGGAGATTAACCAACACACTTTAACAGAACATCTGTGTACCCCTTTATCTTATTTAAGTTAATATCTGGATTTGTTGCCTCCCCCCAAAAAAACCTGGTAAAAAACATTGAACATTCAGTGGGCCTGGGTGACATACACCTTCAGTCCCAGCACTTGGGCAGCAGAGGTAGGTGGATCTCTGAGTTCAAGGCCAGCCTGGTATACAGAGCAAGTTCCAGGACAGTCAGCTACACAGAGAGACCATGTCTAGAAAAACCAACCAACCAACTAAAACAAAACATTGAACATTTATATAAAAGGAAAGAAGGCATTGTGTTTGTCTTAGGAAATCTTATGTTGAACTCAATATACTGCATTGGTTGGGGGAAGAAATATGGAAGGGGGTGTTTGTGAGATGGTGGATGAGGGGTCATGGTTGATTTCTTTTTCAGTGGTAAAAATGTCTTTGAAAAAAAGAACCTGGGGCAAGGGGCAGGACGTTATATGTTTAGGGAGACTCTTGAGCTAGGTTATGAGCTTTAAAAGGTCTGTGAGGGGGACACTAGATTCATCTGGGAGGATTTATGCATCTTCCCATGCTCAGATGTTTGGGTGATGAAGCTGCACTTGGTTTGGCAGCTCCTCGGAGCTCCTAAGTTTTGACAGACAGGAAGAATGGCTTTTGCTTTGTCAACTAAGAGAGTGATCTAGGTTTATTTACACTTGAAATCCAGCAGTACTCTGCCGAGTCTATGGTATTGCTTTTTCCCTTCTGATGTGTCTACTGCCAGATGAGATTTGTTCCTGTGATTAGTAGATAGACATAATCCCTGATCTGATAACTCAGCCGGCCTCTGCATCCCCAACACAGTTCCAACAGAAACCACCCATGTACACATGCATGTGTGGGTGCCTGTTTCCAGGCATCTCTGGATGCTTTCAGAGATGGCTCAGTGGGGTCATTAAGGGTGGGAGAAGCCACCACTGGCGGAGGGACAGGAGCTTCTGTCTTCTAGGTATGTGTTCTGTCCAGGGCCTCTGGAATGCATTCATGAGAATGTTCCTAAGGGCTGTCTTTGGCTTCAGAATTCTCTTGTTTAGATAGCCTCACACTCTTCAGCCACGTCCTCATTATTGAAGAGATCATTCACCCCTGCTTGTCATGCTTGCTTCTACTCAGACTGTATCTTGCTACTCTAGAAGCAAAAGATCCATGTTGGTGTCCCACTTACGCTTAGACTTCCCATGAACCTCTATCTAAATCTGACATCTGTCTAGGTTGGTGGCATGACTCTCACCTCCTTTCCTGCAGGCTGTGCAGCCTGTGTCTGGGATGGGAGAAAGCCAGCTGGGCCAAAGTTGGCAGGCAGCCCTCTTTGGCTTGTAAACTCACTTGTCGCCAGGATGCAAGAGTCGCCCAAGAGTCTCAGTGGCAAGGAGACAGCCAAGGAAATACTGGAACTTTAGTTTGTCTAGCAGGATTCTTTTGGCTGCTTTCTGAAAACCTCTGTCCCTGGTGTTCTGTCTTATTGAAATTCTAAGGATATATGGGGCACTTATTCATCATCACAGGCAAGAGTATCTTTGGGGAGCCTGCCTGGGACTTAGTGACTAGCTTTCTTAGGACCCTCTGACTGGCTATAACCTTGGCAGACTCAGGCATCCCTCTGAACTTGGCATCCATCCGAACCTGGCAGCAGAATGGAGGGATGCAGGGGGATGGTCAGGGAGGATGTGAGAGGCACAGGCGTAGTGCCCGGCCGAGGGGCCCAGCATTCTGGGTCCCTGACCTACTTTTACTTGATAAACTCATACTGTTTAATTTTTTTTTTCTTCAAAAAGTGAAGTTTAAAAAATGGGTTGGTTTCTGAGGCTCACCTCTCTTTGCTTCCCACATGTTTGCTCAATTTACATACTGAATTAGGAAATCATTTTACCCTCCTTATACCCCCAAGAAATGCTCTTATACTATTTTGTTAGGAATTGGAATCCCTGTCTGGGGCTTAGTTCTTCCGTATCTGATTTATGTTTGGAACTGCCATTGGCAAATACTGCCGGAAAAGTGAGACTGAACTACAAGGCCAAGGGGTGTTGTCACTAGGTGGGGGTGGGGTGTGTAGTCCCATTGGGTCATCAAATGGCAGGGGCTTTGGGTTGTGGAATGACATCATAACTTTAGCACTATTCTTTTTTGTTGTTTTGAGATAGTTTCACATTGTTGCCTGGGCTGGCCTGGAATGAACTCACTGTGTAGCCCGAGCTGGCTTAGAACTCAACTGTGTTCAGGATCACCTTGAACACTCAATTCTCCTTCCTCTGTCCCAAGGACTGGGATTATTGACATGTCCCACCATACCCAACTCTGGTGCCATTCTTCAAAATCTGTCTTTGGGTGTAGGCCTCTGGCCATTAACTTTTGCTTTTTGTTTGATGAGTCCTTGCTTGGTCTTTCTAGCTTGTGGGCCGAAGCTGACCAACTCCCCAACGGTGATTGTGATGGTGGGCCTCCCTGCCCGGGGTAAGACTTACATCTCCAAGAAGCTGACTCGCTACCTCAACTGGATAGGTGTTCCAACGAAAGGTAAGCCAGGACACCAGGCTAACAGCTGGCATCCTCAGGGTGGCCACTCACAGGCACAAATGTCCTGGGTTATGGTGTCTGATCCTGTTTCCCAGTCTGGTTAACGAAACTCAGCTTCACCTCCATCAAGCTCCCTGTGGTGACCTCATTCACTGTGTGTCATTTCTTTGAAAGTCTTATCATATGTAACTGTAGCCTTCCATTAATGACTATCTTCAGCAGCTTCATGCTATATACTACTGATGATATAGTTATACATCCCTGTCTCAACTTAATGGGAAGTATCTTAAGGATGAAGATTAGTATTCTTCACTGTGCTGAGATTTTTTTTTTTTTTTTTTTAAATATGGGCGCTTGACTCTAGGTCTGTGTGTGCTAAGCAGTAACTATTAAATGTGACCTCATCAGCATAGGTGTGCCAACAGGAACATGGCTAATTTAGACATGGCAGGGGTAATTTAGAATTAATAACTCAACAAGTTGGCTAGCCTTGCTTGTCAGAGAGACCCACTTATATTTGAAGACTATAAGCAAAAACTATCCTTATTGATTTTAACATTTATTTATTTCATTATTTTATATGTATGGGGTATGGGTATTTTGCCTGCATATATGTATGTGTATTACATGTATGCTTCATGCCCTAGACAGCCAAAAGAGGGAGTCAGATCCTTTGGTACTAGAGTTATAGATGGCTGTGAACCTTCATGTGGGTGCTGGGAACTGAACCCTGGTCCTTTGTAAAGAGTAACATGTACTCTTAACTGCTGAGCTAACTCTCCAGCCTCTATATCTATCCATCTCTATCGATCTATCATTTTGAGACAGTGCTTCATAGCTCAATGGTGTTCAATGGACTGTATAGCCATTGTGCTAGAATTACAGGCATCTATCACCATGCCCAATGGTTTTGGTTGGTGCTGGGATCCACCTAAACAGGTACAACTGAGGGACATCCTTACTTCTTCTTACATTGTAACTTTTTTTTTTTTTAACTTCTGGATTTTGGCTGTTCTCAAAGTCTGTTTCTGGTTTATGACACTGGGAAACTAGGATTGAGATCTAGTCCCTAGGAGACAACTTCAGGTACAGCAAGAGTGCTGGCCTTTGGTCTGGTCTCTGTTTCTCAGGCTGTGACCTGGGGATGACAGCCTGGACTGGGAAATTCACATTCTCTGTATGAGATTCCTTATTCAGATAGGTATTGGTTGGTTTTCTCTTTGGTTGAGCAGCCTTTTGTTCCTGATGGCTCATCCAGGACTGCCCTTGTCTTTCTTGTCCAGTGTTCAATGTGGGAGAGTATCGCCGAGAGGCTGTGAAGCAGTACAGCTCTTACAACTTCTTCCGCCCCGACAACGAGGAAGCCATGAGAGTCCGAAAGTAAGCCTGAGCTGCAGTGGCTTTCCTTCTGTGTGTGTGTACACTCAGGTGGAGGCCTGAGGATGATCATGTATGTTCCTTGGGCACTGTCCACTTCACAATTAAATGTATCTATACATGTAGGTGAGTGTGAGTGGGTATGTGTATCCCTAACTGTGGATGCCTGAGGATGTCAGGTGTATTCCTTTATTGTTTCTCTATTTTGGGGGACAGGGTCTCTTTTAAAAATTATTTTATGTGTATGGTTTTTTTCCTGCATATATGTTAGTGCCTGGTGCCTGGGGAGGCCAGAAGAGGGCATTGGATCCTCTGGTACTGGAGTTAGAGGAGGTTGTGGTCTTCCAAGTGGGTGCTGGGAATCAGACCCAGGTCCTGGAAGATCAGCAAGTGCTCTTAACTGCTCAGGTGTCTCTCCAGCCCTTAGACAGGGTCTGTTGATGAACCTGGAAGTAGCTTGAGGGGGCCAGTGAGCTCTGTAGACTTGCCTGTCTCTACACCCCTAATACTAGGGTTACAGAAAGTGGCACCATGCCTGGCATTTAGGTGAGTGCTGAAAATGCAAACTCATGTCCTCATGCATGTGTGGCAGGCAACCAACTCCACAGGCCTCTTTTTAGAGGCAGGGTCTGTTACTGTGGAATTTAGCAAGTAGGCTAGACTGGCTTGTTGCCAGTGAACCCCAGGAGCCACCTCCCTGACATTGGGAGGTGTACAGCACCAAATCCAGCAGCTGCTGTTTCCTCCTCCTCCTTCTCCTCCTTCATGTAGGTTCTGCGAGTCCAACTCAGGCTGTTGTGTTTGCAAGGCAAACACTTTACTATGAGCTGAGCTATCTTCCCACCTTGAGGCTTCCTTTGTTTTGAAGCTGGATTCTGTAAGAGGAAGAAAAGGCCAGTGTGCATGCATGCTGCTCTTTGCTGGTGGCCATTATACCTAGCTAGTAGTAGGACAAGATTCTTGGCCTCTCTATGACTGGCTGCTTTGATCTGAGCCTCCTGAGACAGTTCAATAGCAGCCACACACCAGAGCTCAGGAGCAAACAAAGTCCCTTTCATTGGAAATCATCAGTTTGCATTTGCAAAAGAGTTCTTAAGCTGCAGGTGATAGGGTGGTGTTTTTCCCTTCTGTTTGGTGCTAGAATGAGCTGGGTGTGGGAAGAGTTCCCGATCTCTGATGCCAGGCACAGCCCCAGGCATGCCCAGTGAGACTCTCTGTGTGTGCTCTGGCATCCACTTTTTATTTTATTAGTACTGTTATTTTGTTTTGTTTTAAGTTAGGTTCTTGTTATATAACCCTGACTAGCTTGGCCTTATATAGTTCAGATTGGCTCAGATCTGTGTTCCTGCCTTAGCCTCCAGAGTACATCTATTATGCGAGTATTTTTGCCACCCTCTCTGCCCAGCACTGGTTTTTATTTTTAATTTTTGAGATAGGGTCTTATGTAGCTGAGGCTTGCCTTGCGCTTTTTATGTAGCTGAGGTTGAGCCTCTGATCCTCCGGCTTCCACTCTTCAGTAAGAGGATGATAGACTGTGCCACCAAACCTGGTTTTATACAGTGCTGGGGACTGAACCCATGGCTTTATTTATGCATGTTAGACAGGCACTCTACCAAGTGAGCTATATCTCTTGCTTTTGGCACCAGTTCTTACAAAGCTCCCTAGATTTAATTTCTAAACTGAGCGTGATGCACTGTTTCTATAGTCCCAGCATTCTGGAGGTTAAGGCAGGGAGAACACAAGTTCTAGGCCCACCTCAGCTACAGAGCAGGTTCAAAGCCAGACTGGATAACTCAGTGAGGCCCTGCCTCAAACTAAAAGGAAAAAAAGGCTGGAGTTGCAGTTTCGTCGTAGAACACTCACTTAGCTTTGATTTTGGTTCCCAGTACCACAAAAGAAAGACCAATAATGAAAGATTTAAAAAAAAAAAATTAAAGAGGCCCATGCATGGTAACTGGTGTCTACACTGGAGAGCTAAGGTGAGAGGATTGTTGGGAGTTTGAGGCCAGCTTGAACTACAGAGTTGTATGTCAACCTGAGCAGCATAGCTAAGACCTTCTTTGAACAAAACAAAACAACCCACAAAACCAAGTACAGATGTTCCTCAGGGAAATTGATCCCATCATGTAGCCAGTCATGATGGCTGCTTCCCTCAGCAGTGTAGAGGTGGGTGTCTGTGCTGGTCCTCAGGTCAGAGGCCCCTGACCTAAAGAGGCCCTGGCTAGCAATGAGCAGCTTGGAACTGAAACTTAACTTCCGTGTGGGTCACAAGGGATAACGGCTGCTTGGCTGGGCCTGCTCTGACCGGTGCTTTCCCTCTTGTGTGTTTGCAGACAGTGTGCCTTAGCTGCTCTGAGAGATGTCAAAAGTTACCTGACAAAGGAAGGAGGACAGATTGCAGTAAGTTTGGGGACACCTCTGTCCTCATTGGCACAAGCAGTGTGGAGAGCTACTATAGAGTAAAACCAAGGACAAATGGCTATAGGGGTTGGAAGAAGTGGCCCAAAGCAGCTAATACTCAGGACTATATCTTGGGATGGATGTTGGGACATAGCTCTGTCACTCACCTGTTTAATTGACGTCTGGGTACCACCTCTACTCTATTGCTGCCAGCCACAGCAGCCAGGGGTCATTTCTTGGTCTCCATTGTATGTTACTGCTTGCTAGTTCCTCTGCCCGCTGCTGGGCCTGAGCCTGTGGGCAGAGGGTGAGGAGGGAGCCTGGGAGCACCATGGAGAGGTTAGGGAACAGGGCACACACTCTGTCTAGAAGGAGGAATTTTGGGCTTATTTCTGGAAACAACTCATTGAATTCTTTGTGGGTTGGTTAAGTGTTATTACTAGTTTTTCTGAGCCTTCTTCCTCTCTGTCAGGTTTTTGATGCCACCAACACTACAAGAGAGAGGAGACACATGATCCTTCATTTTGCCAAAGAAAATGACTTCAAGGTGAGCCAAACCTGCCTCCCCAGCAAGTTCAGAGAGGAAGACTCCTTGGGAAGAGCTGATTGCCTGACTCTGGCTTCAGCCTCTTTCTGTCAAGTTGTTGGTGAGGCAGGGTTGTTGGAACACACAGGCTGGCTTCAAACTTGCGGCAATCCTTCTGCCTCAGTCTGCTAAGTGTTGGGATTTGCAGATGTGAGCCATCACTCATGGCTAGTTGCCCACATTTTGCTGCCTTAAAACAAGAGCTTCCCTGTGGCAGGATGGAGCCCTCCCTCCCTGGGGGAAGGTAAAGGCCATGGCCATGAAAAGTTGGGAGGTTTATGGAGAACTTTCCCAATATGCTCCCCCCCCCACAAAGGAACAATTGCTTCTTGTGCTAAAGCACGCACACACACACACACACACACACACACACACACACACACACACACACACACACAGGTTTTACCGAGACATAATGAGCATCTTTATATTTTGTTCTTTATACTTTGTCCTTGGCTCCCTTTTCTCTGATTACTGGTCCTTGTTCACTCCCCAAAAGTCACCTGTCCATCCCATTAACCTGTTGTTCCCCAGCCCTGCTGTTGTCATGAGACCTGCCTCCTCCCCCACACGTTTAAATCTAGATTTTGCATATAAAAGGAAGCATGAGTTTGAGTCCAGCTTACTTTGCATCTCCCCAGCCCCATCATTTTCCTGCTGGTTTCGTATCATAGTTGGCCTTTTGTGGGTTGTTTTTACCTTTTTTGTCTTGTTTACTTCCTCCAGGCATTTTTCATTGAGTCCGTGTGCGACGACCCTACTGTTGTGGCCTCCAACATCATGGTAAGACAATTAGGGAGTCCTGTTTGTATATGGCCGTTTGTACTGTGAGGTCATTTGCCATCTCTGTTGAGATATGGTAGATTGTCAGGGAATGGCTTCACCTGGTGTCAAAGGCTGAGTGATGATGGAGTAGCCAGGGGTGATGAACAACTCATCCTGACATACAGAGAGGCCATCCAGATGTTCACTTCTTGCTTTCCAGGTCCCTGGTAGGGAAGGATGCTTTTATGTAAACCAAAGCCTCCAAGGCTTTGTCCCAAAGACAAAGTTCCCAAGTTTGGGAAGAAAGGGTGTAGTGATGTGCCCCGTCCCTGTCAACTCTGCTGTGCCAAGGGTTGATTGTCCAGATAATCAAGGTCGTTGGCAACATCATTTGATTTAGCCTTTGTTTTCTTACTTGATAACAATAGATCACAAACAGAAATGAGTATTACAAACTTTTTCACAGGCCAGTTTTGTTATGTGTATGTATGTGTATACGTGTGATGAGAGTGGGCACATGGGTCACAGTAAGAATGTAGAGATCTGAGCTGTCTCACCAACTCAGAATTTCTTACGGTTTTAGATCATTTTCTTTTCAGTTTTGTTATTGTGTCTTTGGGGCAAGAGTCTCACACTAGCCCAGCCTGTCCTGGAACACTATGTAGCCCAGGCTGATCTTGATTTTGAGGCAAGGCTCCTGCCCTGGTCCTCCAGTGCTGGGATTATGGATGTGAGCATCACTTCTGATTTCCAGTTTGTTCATATTGGAATAGGACATATTTATAAAGAAAACCAGTGTTTCATAGGTAAGGGATGTAGGTGATGTGACTGCGTGCACACATGCTTTCTTCCTTCCTTCCTTCCTTCCTTCCTTCCTTCCTTCCTTCCTTCCTTTCTCCATCCATCCATCCATCCATCCATCCATTCATTTCCTTATTTATTTATTATATGGGGACAAGGTTTCACTGTGTAACCCAGGCTGGCCTTGAACTCAAGGTATCTTGTTCCCTCTCCCCCTGAGTGCTGGAATTACGGTGTGTACCACTATACCCTGCCCAAAATACATATTACCTTTAAAGGGACACTAAACATTTGTAGCTTCTTTTATCGGTCTTTTTCTTCAAGTTCGAGGAAGGGGAAGTGTGTGCTCACAGAGGGCTTCGCGGTGTCTCTTTGGTTTTATTTTCCCTGCTCCACTTGATAGTGAAGTATGGTGCAGCTGTGAAATCATTTCCCCATTGAGTAGTTGCTGCTGTGCTTAGATGAGGGTTGTCTAGTAGTAGCTTTTGTTCATTTACATAGTTAGCTATTGGCCTTGATCCTCTGTGTTCAGAAATCTTTCTCTGATTAAACCTAAAAGCAGTTTTGCAGATTAGGTCCAGGATTTGTGACCCATATTTATGTTTCTGTTGTACAATTCACACAATATGCAACTGACCTTTATAGCTATTTTTAGTGTGCTGTTCAGCAGCACTAAGTACATTCAAATTCTTAGGCAACCATGTTTGTGATGTGGCTTTGTTGGTAGAGTGCCTGTCTACCTCGTAGGAAGCCGTGGGTTCAGTCCTCTGCAATATGTAAATTGGGTGTGGTAGTAAATACTTGGAATTTGTGAGATGGAGACAGGAGGATCAGAAGTTCAAGGTCATCCTTGGCTATGTAGTGGGTTTAGGGGAAACTTGAGGTACATGGGAGCCTGTCTCAAAGCAGGCAAACAAAATAAACATAAAAGCAAAAAAGTTGGAACCACCTGCCAACCATCTCCAGGCCTTCCCATCTTCCTGTCTGCCTCATAGTTGTGGAAGCATAAGATAGAGCAATCCTGACAGCAGGCATGATGGTGCCAGCCTAATAATTCCAGCACATAGTGGGCAGGTTTTAGAAGATTTGAGGCTGTTCTGCTTTATATAGCAAGTTCTAGCCCAGTCAAGTCTAGATAATAAGACCTCAAAAGAGCAAAAGTCAGTCTGAGTTTCACTCACATCTACCTGGGTTTCTCCATATAATTGTCCAATTATGGGGGACTCCTTGTCCCAGAGGGGCAGCTCTGAAAGGTGGAGGTGTACTGGGTCTGGTCATCACACAGACCAGCATAGGTGGACCATGCTTCCATTGGAACAGATGAGGAGGGAACATTGCCTTTTGTAACTGAAGGTATGCTCCTGGTGTGCTGCTGTGTAGCTTTGCTGAGTCGAAGGCCAGGCTGACTCCGTTATTGGACTGACCCATCTTAGTGTATAGTCCAGATGTGTTCCTCATGGGGTCTCCGTGGGTTTCCTGTGTCTGTCCTTCATGGGCACCCTCCCTGTGTAACCAGAAGTCCGTGAGACAAACCTCCTGACCCTCATTGTTTTTTTCCCTCTTAGATGCTGGGTCGGATAATTTTTATTCTGAGCATTTCTGGGCTTTCCCCATTTGAAAGCCCAAATCCTGTTTAATCTAAGCAGAAAGCCTTTCAGTGTGATTCATCAGCTGCTCTTTGTGATGTTACAGGAAGTTAAAATCTCCAGCCCGGATTACAAAGACTGCAACTCGGCAGAAGCCATGGACGACTTCATGAAGAGAATCAATTGCTATGAAGCCAGCTACCAGCCTCTTGACCCTGATAAATGTGACAGGTGATTCACAGAGGTTACCATCCTCAATTATCCACACAGGGGCTTGAAATGTTTGTCTCCTTGACAGCTGTCTCCATAAAATATGTCTGTAAACTCTAAAAATGGCTTTTTGAGGGTCTCTGAGGCCCTGCCCTTTGGTGGAGGAGCTATTAGCAATTGTTGGCTGTTGAGGGAGGAAGGGTTCCTCTCTTTTGGGACATGATTGCTGCTAGGTTGGGATGCCCATGCCCCAGGGGATGTCCTCACCGCCATGCATAAAGGGCTGCACTAATAATAAGACATATGAGATGGGGACATTTAGAGGGAGATAGTGGTGGATAAGTAGGTTCAAAATGAGGGGTAGCTCAGCAGTTAACACATACTGCTTTTCCCCATGACTAGAGTTTAGTTCCCAATAGCTACATCAGGCAGCTCACAGCCAATTGTAATTCCAGCTGCAGGGAAATCAGATGCCTCTGGCCTCCATAGGTTCCTGCTTTTATATGCACATATGCCCCTTATTCCCCCAATTAAAAAAGTTTTTTAAAAAGTATAAATGTATAGGCCCGGTGGTGGCGCATACCTTTAATCCTAGCACTCGGGAGGCAGAGGCAAGTAGGTCTCTGTGAGTTTGAGGCCAGTCTGGTCGACAGAGCAAGTTCCAGGACAGCCAGGGTTACATAGAGAAACCCCCACCCACATAAAAAAAGTATAAAGGTATGAACCTGTCTTCTTCAGCTGTTCTCTACCTAAGAAAAGATATTTACAGGGTTTTTTATTTGTTTGCTTGTTTTGACTGGGTCTCACTATAGATAGCCCTGGCTGGGCTAGAACTAGTCATAGATCTGCCTGCCTCTACAAACCCAGTGCTGGGATTAAAGGTGTGTGCCGCCATGCCCAGCTAGGTTTCCTTTTCTTTTCCCCAAACAAATATACAGTTATTTATTTGCTTGTGTTTGTGCTTTGTGTCTCTGTGTGTGCATACATAGATAGGCACCATAGCAGACATCTGAAGGCCAGGGAACAACTTTTGGGAGGTCTTTCTCTCTCCTTCTACCTTGTGAGCTCAGGGGATCAAACCCAGGTCGTCAGGCTTGGTGACAAAGCAGCTTACTTTACTCTGGGCCATGTCACTAGCCCCTCCACCTCGATCTTTGAACAGTCTCCCTGAACTTGGGGCTCACTGATTTGGCTAGGTGGACTGACCCACCTGTGTCTGCCTCTCCAGCTCTGGGATTACAGACCATGCTGTGCCTTGCTTTTTTCAGAAGGTGCTTCTATCTGAACTTGACTTACACACAGGGCCTGCGCTTGTACAGTCCTGAGGGAGCCATCTCTCCAGCTATATTACCTGGCTGGAACAGCCTGGCTGTGGGGATTGTTGCTCTCCTTTACTCTCTCACTTCTAGGGGAGACTCACAATCAGTCACTGTTATAGGCCTCCAGGAAGCCAATATTCTAGAAGCAGGCTGGGCCTAGTGTGAGGCTTGAGTGGTGGTCTTCACTGAAGTTTCTTTGCAGGGACTTGTCACTCATCAAAGTGATTGACGTTGGCCGGAGGTTCTTGGTGAACAGAGTTCAGGACCACATCCAGAGTCGGATTGTGTACTACCTAATGAACATCCACGTGCAGCCCCGTACCATCTACCTGTGTCGGCATGGCGAGAATGAATACAACCTGCAGGGCAAGATTGGGGGCGACTCAGGCCTGTCCAGCAGAGGCAAAAAGGTAGGGGAGAGAAAAAGAAAATATGGGCTAGGGACTAACTGGAGGCAGGAAGGTGATAGCTTCCACCTTGTTGTGTAGAGTAGAGGGTCCTTGGGAGGGTGGGGTGTTGTGGGTTTTTTTTTTTTTTTTTTTTTTTTGCTGTTTTTGCCTTATTGTACTGTGTGTCTATATGTGTACATGTGAACGTGCAAGGGGAAGGTAGAGTCAGGTCTCTTGTACTCTGTTAAGGTTTGAGTGACACTGGAGGTTTGGATGGTCTTGGTGGCTGCCAACAAAACAAAACCTATGGGAGGAACTGGAGTTGGGGGATGACCTCTGTCTCCTGTGTTTCTTCCCTCAGTTTGCCAATGCCTTGAGCAAGTTCGTGGAGGAGCAGAATCTGAAGGACCTCCGTGTGTGGACAAGCCAACTGAAAAGCACCATCCAGACCGCAGAGGCTCTGCGGCTCCCCTATGAGCAGTGGAAGGCGCTCAACGAGATTGATGCTGTGAGTCCCAGGCCCAGGCTGTGGGGAGGCATGGCTGGAAGGGGAGTTCTTCTCTCCAGGGGATTCTGGAACCCTGGTGGCTTCCTGAGACCCCATTTATTTGAGGTGGCGCTATGGGTGAGTTTCCTGGCGTGAATGTTGTTCTCCCTGACAGGGTGTGTGTGAGGAACTAACCTACGAGGAGATCAGAGACACCTACCCTGAGGAGTATGCATTGCGTGAGCAGGACAAATACTACTACCGATATCCCACGGGCGAGGTGAGCAAGAGAGAGTCCATTCTCTTGTCTACTGGCCCTTCTTTATAATGGTCAGGAGCTATGGCATGGGTGGTGTACGGAGGTGGCTGAGAGAAGGCCTTGGGGGGCCCAGCGGGACCAGGTGAGGCCCCACAAGGCCTCTACAACTCACTCCATCTCTCACCAGTTCTGCAAGCTCATCTCTGCTGTGACTTTGGTCCTAAATCTCACTAAAGGGAACCCTGTAAAATCCCCAAGGAAAGCGCATTGTATTTCCCACATGGAACAGTGAGAAGTCTGTATATCTATCTGTCTCTAATGTGTGTGATGTGTGACAAAAAGCAAAGAGAATACCTGGTGATTCACTCCAGACCATAGCTTTTCCTGGATGGTAGGACACGTGGTAGACAGGCTGGTGGCAAGGATGTCATGTTAAGGTTAGATGGCTTGTGCCAGGTCTAGGCCGATGTTGGTAGAGGGAATAGCTGAGCAGGCAGCTTTTCTTGAGTTGGAATGAAGTGTGCTGAGCCATTTGTACTCTGGGAGTTGATCCAGGCTGCTGTGTTGACACCTAGTGGGTGTCCTCCTGAGCATTGTCATAGTTCCCGGTCCTGGTGGGCCACGTGCTGTCTTCTGGTCTCACTCTGGTCTGCACTCCCTATAACTCTGGTTAGAAAAAGCATTGAAGAGTCATTGTAAGAAGGATCTTTGCTAGTTCTTTACATTGCAGCCTTGTACTCATTGTATATTTCAGACCTGCCTTGCTTGCAAGCTTCCCCAGTGCTGGCATTACAGATGTGTGACACCATACCTGGTGACATTTTTGTTGTTTGAAACTGGATCTTCCAGGCTGCCATGGGTTCGTATGAATCCTCTGGCTTCAGCCAAGTGAGTGCTAAGGATTACAACAGATGTGCACCACCCATATTCCAAAAGGAGATTGCAGATGTGTTAACAGTTAGTCTAGCTTCTAGCTCTGGTGGCCACACACTTGTTGCCTCTAGAGTTGCCCATTCTGAATGGTGCATAGAAGGAATCATTCAGTGTATGTAGATGGTGATGCTTAATGGCCTCCACTTGACATACAAGTGTTTGAGATTTTCCCATGTGGTGGCATGTGCCTGACTTATTTTCTTTTAATGGTTGCCTGAGTAATAGTCCATGATAGAGTCTGATCTTTCTCCAGTGCTCAAGAGGAAGGAATTCGGACAGACAGGATTGCAGGCTTCCCATGTTTCCTAGGAGTAGTATTTCATTAAATGCAGAGCTGAACACTTAGAAGGAGGGATGTGTGCATGTGGGGTGGGGTGGGGGTGGGGTTGTGAGCTGGTCAATGATGAAGGCTGCAAATGATCGCAGGACTCGTCCCTGCCTATCCTCTCCTAATGTGCTATCCCATCCCTTTGTTCTCAAGTCCTACCAGGACCTTGTCCAGCGCCTGGAGCCTGTGATCATGGAATTAGAGCGCCAAGAGAATGTGTTGGTCATTTGTCATCAGGCTGTCCTACGTTGCCTACTGGCCTACTTCCTGGACAAGAGTGCAGGTATTGAGGGCAAGTCATGCACAGGAATGAATGAAGGAAGAAGGAAATGGGCCCATGAGTGCAAGTGGCAGAGGACCCATCTTCCCATACTCTGCTTTGTATCTGTATATGGATCTGCCTCACAGCCAGCTGAGGTGTCTCTACTGCTCCCCATTGAACTTGCTCAGTGGGCTCCATCACTTCATAAACCAGCCTGAGAATACTCAAGCCTCCATCTGACCAAGGGCCTTTCTCCATGTGACCATGAGTTAGGCTTGAGGTTCTCACAGTGAGCCTAGGGATGCCCCCGAGCGTCATCCTTCACTTCAAGTCTCTTATTTAACTTATGTCTCATTTCAGAGGAGATGCCATACCTGAAATGTCCCCTTCACACCGTCCTGAAACTAACACCTGTGGCGTATGGTGAGTAGCAGCCCCTGAGGTTTCCTGGTGGCTATGGGGCTGCCGATGAGGTCGATTTCTTTAACTAATGGAAACCATTTTCTTCATCTTTCACCTCCAGGGTGCCGCATGGAGTCCATCTACTTGAATGTAGAATCAGTGAGCACACACCGGGAGAGATCAGAGGTGAGTTAGGCTCAGATGCATGGGACCCTTGGGAACTCCCATGTCTGGTTTTCTTCTGGAGGGTTCTCACTGAGTTTCTTTGGTGCCCACTGGCCAGCTACCATGCTCCACACCTCTGTTCCTAGCCTGTTTTTCCTGTGGCTTCATGGGATTTGTTTCTTTTCTTTCTGCCCATGGCCTCCCCCCCACCCCATTTCTACTTGACTGGGAAGAGCGAATTAAATGGAGTTACTTCTCTCAAACACTGCCCTAGCACAGTAGCTGTTTCCACTTCAGGAACAAAGCTATGCCTTCTCAAAAGCACCAGGAGGCTGGCTCAGAATTGGCCAGTCAGCAGTACCATCGCCATGCACTTAAGCTTGTAGTTAGCAAAGGTTTGAGATAGGAAGCAGGGCTAGAGCATGGAATCCCAAGGGCCTCGAGGAATGGTCTTCAGGAGACTCAGCACCTAGCTGTTACAGTACTCCACATCAGGGAGGTCTGAGATTTTGCCTGGGAGGGGGTGTATGGTCATGTTGAATCCCTTACTGGGCAGATTGCATATCTGTCCAGGTCTATGTTGTGAAAGTGGGTTTAAATTTGCTTTATGCAGGCTGTCAAAATACAACACATTGCCAGTGTAGTCAGACCTTCCTCTTACACCGAACTTGACTTTCTGTCTGTGGAGTCCGCAAAACAGGTGACTTCCCCATTCCCAAGAAGCTTGGCCGTCAGACTTTGGTAGGAAGGGTCCAAGGGGTGTCAGCCAGTTTACTGCCCAGCTTGCACTGTGGACTACAATGGAAGAGGACTGTGTCCCTGGGCTGCCTCGCCCTGTCTCCTGGCCCCACCCCTCTGAAACAGAGCATCTGGACGATGTGCTTATTTAGCTGGATGAGGATAGTCCCAATGTGAGATGGGCTCCAAGGGCCTCAGAATACTTCCTTGTTGAGTGTTGGGGCTGAAGCTGCCCTGGATGTTGAGATGCTGGGTCATGCACTGAACCCCAGGAGCCTACTCTCCTGTCTTGTCATTTTTTTTATAGGCAAGGTTGACATCCAGGCTGACAGACCACTGTCTGTTTCCTGCACCTTTGGTCTCATGCTCTTATTCCTAGATTGAGGCTGGGAAGTGTTTGGGGGAGCACAGTGAGTGTATTTCATGGGTGCTTGTGAGTGCTGCAGACCCAGATGGAAGGGAGTTGGCCCTGACACCTTCCCCTCCCTCATCTGTGATCTTAGAGCCAACCATCTCTCCTGGGCCCTCTGTGGGTGGGGTGGCTGGGAGAAAGGTTCTGTTCTCTGACCCTCCTCTCTACTGTGGTCGTAATTATTTTTTCCCTCCCCTGTTTTGCACATAGCGAGAAGCTCTGTGCCAGCAACAGCTCAGGGTCAAGGCCACTCACGTGGGTGTCCCTTACAAATCACAAGAGGAGTGTGTGTGTGGCTTTTCTACCTCCCTCCTTGTAACTGTCGCCTTTTCTCTTTTGTCTTTGTCTGCTTAGGATGCAAAGAAGGGACCTAACCCACTCATGAGACGCAATAGTGTCACCCCACTAGCCAGCCCTGAGCCCACCAAAAAGCCTCGCATCAACAGCTTTGAGGAGCATGTGGCTTCCACTTCTGCTGCCCTGCCCAGCTGCCTGCCCCCGGAAGTGCCCACACAGCTGCCTGGACAAGTCAGTGATTCTGCCTTAATTACCTCCTACAGGGAAGAGTGCACTGGGGAGATATCCCCAGATCTGGGGCTGCATTTGTATTTGCAAGTGAGGATGTGTGCCTGTGTTTAGGGAGGGCCGAATGTGTGATGTGCAGTAGACAGTATTCGTGGGTGTATAGTGTGTATGCGCATTGGGCAGAACATGAGATGCCCTCTCTGAAGATCTTTCATTGTCAACAGTGACTCTGTCCTTTCTCAGGTTATGGTGTTTGTTCTTTATTGAGCAGAATCAGGCAGAACAGGAGAAATGGTAAAATGTCCCAGTCCTTGTGCACATTGGTGAATAGTACCTCTAGACTAGTCTGTACTCTAGCAATTCCCAGTTCAGGAGTCTGTACCTACCTGGGGACCCATATCTCCCTACTCCATCGCTAACTCCTTTGTTATCACCTCTGTGACAGAAAAGAGCTGAGGTCTTCTCACAGAAGAGCCTGTCCCCTGTCCAGAACCAGCATAGCCCTTCCCCTTAGAATCAGTCAGAGCTGGAGAGGCAGCTCTTTCCATCAACTGTGGAGACCCAAGTTCAGATCTCCAGGACCCATGCAGAAAGCCGAGTATGGAGGGGCATGTCTGTAAAATCACTCACTGATGGTGTTGTGGGAAGCAGAAATAGGTAGATCCCTAGAGCCTGACAGGCCAACTAGCCTGGCCTTTGTGGTGAAATTCCAGGACAGTAAGAGACCTCCTTTAAATGTAAGGTGGAAGGCTCCCAGAGATTGACACCCTAGACTGTCCTTTAACGTCCTTGCATGTGATGCTGTATTCATCTGCATCCCTATACATGGATGTGTGTGTGTGTGTGTGTGCACGTACAAGTATACATACATGCACAGGACCAGGCAGCCAGAATAGCCACTTTTTCACGTAGCAGTTATATTAGCAGAGTAAAAATGAACAGCACCCAGCAAGATTCGCTACTTCTCTAGCTTGAAAGATCAAAGGCTGGAAGAATTAGGCTATTGAGCATTCCAATTTGTTTTCAGAAAACCAGTTCTTCAAAGATAGCTAAGAACCTCTGTAAACATGAAATAATAGGCCTTACCCTGATGCCTGGCTGAATTTCATCTCTGTGCTAGACCAACTCTGGCTGTGTCTGCTGCCTACTAGTGCTTCTGTGGGAAACCCCTCCCCCCCCCCCCAGCTTCCCTTTAGCTTTCTGAGGCCTGGAATGTGATATGGAGAGGTTGAGGCCTCCAAAGCTCATTTAACCAGCCCATGCCTCCGTTTCCTAATCTGTGGAATTGGAGAGTATACCCTGCCAAGAGTGGCTCCTACAAGGTGATTTGTGCAGTACATGTAACTTGGGTTCTGGCACAAAGTGAGGGTTGGGCCCAGTAAGATGACAGATTTGCTGAGAGCCAGGAGACCTGACACTGATTGTAGCCCTGCCACTAATCTGAGTGTAGATCTCCCCCCCCCCTTTCTCCACAGATTCTTAGTATATAGTTCATGCTGTCTTTTTATGTAGACTCCAACTTATGGTTGTGTCCTATCTCTGCCTCCCCAGTGCAGGATTTTGCTGTTTTGTGGAGTGAGGACAAGGTCTCATGATGCTTAGAGCTCACCTCAAACTCACTATGTAGTTGAGGAAGACTTGGAACTCCCGATCTTCCTCCTCCCACCTCCCAAGTGCACTGCCCGGCTTGGCAGGTGTAAGATTAGGAATGGGCACAGGACTGGGTGAGAAGACAGTAGACACTCCTTCAGGTCTGAGAGTTTTCTGTTACAGCCAAGCAGAACTAAAATTGCATCACCATGCCACTCTATCCTGGTGCATAGTGGGAGTCCTCTGTTGCAGAGGCCTGAGGAGATTAAGCTAGGTCATGGAGGGCACTGGCAATAGCCCAGCCTTATTCCCCACTTCACAGATGCCTCCGAATTTACTAGGACAGGCTGGGTCAGACATGGGAGGTGTGTGGGGCTCATTTCACCAGCTGCCATCTGGCCTCCTGACTGACTTTTTTCTCTCCTTACCTTGTCTCCCTGCAGCCTTTGCTAGGGAAAGCCTGTCTGTAAGTATTTCCTCCTTGATAATGCTACTGCTCGCATTCACTCTTGCTTGTTTGCCAGTTTGTCTCCTGCCTGATGAAGTATTTAGGATGAGAACAGTTTGTTTGGGTAGAGTGTGAGGCTGTCCATAGAAGAGAAAGAGAGGGGAGGAGAAAATTTCCAAACTTTATAGAGAAGAGAAAGGGGATGTGTTGTGAAAAAACTAACGATGTTCAGCACACTTCAACACCATCATTCATAGAGTATTACTCTCCACTCCCTCTTAGGGCTCTAGGTTATGTCTTTAATAATGGTCATAGACTGGGGCTTCTCATAATGTCAGGTTTCCCTGTTGGGAGTCAGATTTTGATGGTGACTGAAACTGGTGCTTGCTTTGCACTCCCAGAGGAGCATACTTTCATTTTGAAAGCAATATTTATCCAGAGCCTAATAACAAAACATGGGGGTCTATCTTGATGGCCTGGAGGTGTGCCTGTCAGTCCCAACAAGGGACAGTCTCTAGAGACATCCATATAGAGACTGTACATGGGGATCTCACTCCACTGTATCCACAGACCCAAGCTTGAGAAATAGGAGAGTTGTGAATGGAATGGCCTATCCTTTGTGTTTGTGGCCCTTAAATAAGAGATGCACAGAGCAATCCTCATCCTGTTTAACAAATAAGGTCAAGTGACCCGCCCACCCACCAACTGGTAGGCAGTGGGGGCCAGCCTCAGACAGACTTCTCATATGCCCCAGACAGCTAGTGTCTTCCTCCCTGCTAGCTGCTTGGAAAAGTCCAGGTACTGTTTTTCTGTCTCTGATTCTTGGAGCCTGAGGGTACACAAGTAGCTGCTGGTCTGTGGGTTAATTCCCACAGTTTCCCTTGCAGCTGCTACCTGAGGCACAGGGCAGGCCTGGCTGTTAATTTCCCCTCTCCAGAAAGGGATAGTATGCTCACCATCCAGTGTCTATTGTAGACTGCTTGAGGACCAAGGGTTCTCCTTGTAGAACCTTTGGGTTGGAACTTGTGGCTCAGCTTGTCTATTCCCGATGTGAATCTAATAGTACTTTTGTCTGGAATTCCTTTAGTTAAGCAAAAATGTATACTATAGACTCATCATTCCTGCTATGGGCAGATTCTATTCCAGAGACCCAGAATCTAGCCCAACCCGATCCTGTGACCAAAACTATTAGTCAATTATTGTTTTACTGAAATAGTATCATCTTAGTCATCTTATCTAGTCTGGAACTTACTGTGTACCAGAGACCTCAAACTCAAAGCAGTCCTCCTATCTCACCCACCCTCTGAGTGTTTGGATTAGAGGTATGCATGTACTAACTTACCTGGCTTCCAGAATTTATTTTAAAATCCAGACCAAACCAACTCTGCCACAGTGTTAGGGACATTAGGGAAGTTAAACCAGTTATGAGACTTGGACTTCCGCATCTCTAAATGGGAGATTGCTTAGATAATGAAAATATGTATATAACTCATGACAAATATCTAGCACCTAGGAGGGGCCTGATGGGTGATGAGTAGTGTGCCACCACTTCTGGTGTCTCCAGCTTTAAGTGCATTTAGGTGGTCCTTTGTTCCCTCTGCTCTATGCCATTGGATTTTAACTTCTCAGAGCAGCTGGAGCGCTCAGAGGCCTGTTCCTGGTCTTCTGGTAAAACTGAATGATACCCAGACGCTGCTCTCTGTCCTGGGTGCTGTTGCTATGCTTGGGATCCAGGGACCACCGGCCATTCTCACTGCATCTTTCATTTTGAAGTTACAGATGCACACTAAGATGAAGATACCACTCAGGCTGGCAGTGTAGCTCAGTTGGTAGAGGGTTTGCCTAGCATGCAAGAGGCCCTGAGTTTGATTCCCCAGCACTGCAAAAAGCAGGCATGGTGTAATGCATCTGTAATCCCAACACTCAGGAGGAGGCAGGACCAACCAGAAAATCAAGGTTGTCTACTCTACATAGAGTGTTTGAGGCCAACCTGGGCTAAATGAGACCTTATCTCAAAACCAAACAGAAAATACTAAGATCGGCTTTGCTTTCTCCTTTTCCAACCTGTCTTCTTTTTTTTTTTTTTTTTTTCCTCCCCCACTATGCTTGAAAGACGAACTGTCTGTCACATTTTTTCAAAGTTTTCTCCTTACTAACCTGGGAAAGGTAATTGAGCTGGTGCATGTCCCTCTGTTTCCTCCTGCGTCTGAATCATGGCTTTCAGCCACAGGGCACTGTGGCTTGTGGACAGGTTGGCCATTGTGGAGTCTGTCGCTCACGTGTCAGTGCTGGGTGGTCTTTCAAGCAGTGTCATTGATGTGGCGTCCTGTTCCATCCATCTGTGTGTTCTGAGCCAGGCCCCCTGAGGGCATAATGTGGACACTGTTCACCATGTGGCTTGCCACTGTCACTGTTACTTTGTCTTCATGTATGAATGCTGGAGGCCTTGGGCCTGGCATGTGGCAGGAGTACACACGCTCCCCTCTTTGATCCCACTACGTGGCTGGGGCACTACCAGAAGGGACCCTATTTCACACGGGCGCTGCTGCCTGGATTCCCAAGTCTCAGGTAGATGTGAGTGGTGACTGCAGCGCAGCCCAGAACTAAGTGTCGCTTCTCTAAACATCCACAGTTAGGCTCCTGTCTGCCTGAAATCCATCTCTCCATGATCCTGTCCCTGGAGTTTGAGGGCCCACACAGAATACTTTTATTGGGTATTTCTTATTTTGAAGGCTTAGATGTGGGGGGGTTTTAGGGAGAGATGCCTGCGGGCCAGTATTCAAGTCAAGTGACTTAGCATTTTATTTAAAAGGGACCTTGATATCAGCTAATGCTTTGTGAGACTTATTCCTAAGGGGTACATGGGTCAAGATGTGGCAGACTTTAATGGCACAGCCACTACTGGGCCTCCATTGTATGGCCAAGCATCCCACTTGTCTCTTGCATTCTTTGGGACAATGTGGCCAGATTGGGATCCCCTGTAGCTGAGTGCAAGGCTCTGTTAGCTGATTCCAGAGAGGTGCTCTGCTGTCTCAGACAGTCCCAGCTGATCTTGACCTGGCTGTGGCCAACGTGAGAGGGCTGTGTGACACAGAGAGTGGTCTTCAGTTGCTAAAGGAGAGGGTGCATGACTTTCCTATCTGTGCCTCAAGGCCTTTGTCCTCTCTAAGTAGCATTGTCTGAGCTTGGAGCAGCAGTCACGTGCCTGCCGCTGTCCATGCCCTTCTGGCTGGAATCTAAGCTGTAACCCAGGGTGTTTTCTGTCATGTTCTCAGACATACTTGAGCTCTTCCCCATGTTCTGTGATCATCTTCTGCCAGGGGTTTGTTCTTTGGGGGAATGGCGGGAGGAAGTGTCTTGTGGCATGGTCTTGAGCCTCCAGCCTGAGAAGTAGCCGGCTTCGGGTCCTGACTCCCCCTTCCTCTCTTTTGGAAACAGAACATGAAGAGCCCACGGAGTGGCGCCGAGTCTTCCCAGAAGCACTGAAGCTGAAATATGGGTTCCATTCCATTCCTACAGCCTGCCTCGTGCCCACTCATCTACCTGAGGCCAAGTGATCCTAAGTACTTCTGGACTGGGGGACAGTGGAGGTCTGCTGGTTGAAGAGTAGTAGCACCCACTGAGATGTTGGGGTGGCAGAGACAACTAGGAAGTTCTACAGACTCCAGCTTCCCGTGGCAAAGCTGCAGATCTCCCCACCCTTTGTTCTCCTGGGACTTCCAGGGTGTCTGACCTCACAGACCCTTCTGAAGCATGGGGAGGACTGTAGTTCTATAGGAGATGAGATCAGGCCCCTAACTGGGGGTACTGGATGCCACCATGCTGTTCTGTTTTGTTTCTTTGGATCCTGGCCTGGCATGTTGATAGCTGGAAGACAAGATTGGCAGATAATCTTGGAATTCAGAGTGAGTTAGACCCCAGTTGCCAGAGGCTCAGGGATGCTCAAATACTCTTGTGGCTTTTACATCTTGGCTTGGGAAGAGGCCTTACAGATAGGGGACTTGGATGCTTGCTGCGTTGGGTGTGGTGGTTCTCTCCTTTTGAGGAGTTCCTGAGCTGAGGCCCACTGGTCAGCTGAGCAATGGCATGCCCTGGCTCCTCCACCTGTCCACATCCCTTCTAGGTCTCAAGTTAGGGGACACACTGTTTGCCTCAGTGGAAGGAAGCATTTTGCTGATAAATAACTGGGGCCTCCTCATCCCAGGGGCCCTTAGGTCTTCTGTTCTCCAACCTGGGCCTGGAGGCACCCGAGCTAATCCTGTGGCTGGCTGATTTGCACTTTCCTTCCTTTCTTCCTCTTTCCCCCTCCCCTCCCACTTCCTTTCTTCACCTTTTTCATCTTCTTTTTTGGGCAGAAGTGTGACCAAAAGTCACACCCCATTTCAGGAACTTAGATGGCAGGGTGTTGGCCCTTGGAAGCGCAGAGCTGCTGAATGAGAGGAGCTGGAGTGTTTGTGAGATGGGGAGGCTCAGAGCCTTCAACTTCACACTTCACCCTTCTTCACACTTGACTCACATTTCCCAAGAAGCCCAAGTAAGCTTGTTCCAGGCTGCTTGCTCCTAGAGCTGTCTCCGTTTTGGCCTAGTATCTGCTATATGCCTGATACTACCTTTCTGGGCATCCCAAGGAGTTCCCAAGAGTAGAAAACTGTCCTTGTTGGTTTCATGATGTCTGTGACTTTTTTTTTTTTTTTTTTTTTTTTGGCATGGCCTGAAAGCAGTGCTGACATAACTACCTATTGTTTTTGTCTGCCTGTTTCTCCCCGTTTATCCACTCAAGTTCTGGGGGAGGAGAGGACATCCTATGAGCCCTTAAAAGGATGCCCCGCAGCTGGCACTGAAGGTCACTTTCCTTTCTGCCATCTCCTATGCTCCCCGGCTCAGGAGACAGGTCCTGGGGTGACACAAGGATGAGTTTTGGATGCTTTAAAGTCACTCTGATTTTCACAGCTAACCACTCACATTCTCAGTCCGGCCCACTCCCCCTTAAATCTATGGTCACCAGAGAGAGGACTATGTACATAAGACTGGGACTGTTCCCTCTTAGTGACTTGAGTCTTGACAAGGGTATATGCAGGGCACCTGCAAGTTGGGGGGGGGGTGGATAGGACCTTAACAGGACCCAAGCTAGCCTCAAACTTATTGCGGTCCTCCTGTCTCAGCTTCCCAAACCCAGCATTGGGGTTATAAGCTTGAGCCACCATATCTGGTAGTGTGGCTTTGCACAAGTTTTTTAGGTGTCCCCTTGGAGCACATCTACACTCTAGTTACAGAACCAACTCTTAGAACGTAGAGACTCTCAAGGCTGAGACAGGTAGGCGTGGTCACCTGTGTCTAACTTAAGTCAGCACATCAACCGAAAGCTTCACATCTTGTGAAGGAGATCACGAAAGGGGCGGAACACAGCTTGACCTGAAACACAGCGACTGGATGGATGGGGTGGCAGTCACTCACAGAACTTACACACTCCCATCCAAAACAACAAAATAAAATAGGGACCAATATTTTTAACTTTGCATATTTGTTTTGGGGGTGAATGTCTCCCATTCCCTTCAACCATGGCCAACACCCTTCATTTATGGGGGAGAAGAAAAACTGTTGGAACCACACCAATGATATTTTCATTTGTAATACTTGAAATTTATTTTTTTATTATTTTGATAGCAGATGTGCTATTTATTTATTTAATATGTATAAGGGAGCCTAAAAATAGAAAGCTGTACAGATTGGGTTTAATTGTTCATTGGTTTGGAGCCTTTCAATGTGTGATTGATGACTTCTTCATGTTCCGTGTAATTGTCTCTCTCAAGGACCTGGAAAAGAAGCTATGCAAGCTTTTAAACAGGATATGCCTTTCAGAAATTTGTATATTTTGCAGTTGCTAGAACAATAAAAACCTGGTTGAGATATACCGACGAAACTCATTTCTGGGCCTTTTGTGGGCACAAGTGTCAGTATTTTTTTTTTTTAACAATTAGTGTGAGTGAGTGCATGTGTGAGTGTGCAGGAGTGCACAGGTGTAGAGGAAGACTTGGCAGGAGTCATCTCTTCAGCCTCCAGAGGTTGAATCCAGGTCGTCAGACTTGTCAGTGCCTTTACTTGATGAGTCAGTCATCTTGCCAGGCCACAAAGTGTCTTTTATTGATATTTATGGCCAGTGCACTTGCCAGCTCCTCGAAGAACCATGTGTCACCTTCCTTTAAACAGGACACAACAGATTGTCAAGTTTGTACATTTCAGAACTAATAAAATATGTTAATTTTAAATTAATAGACTTTTGTTGGTGGTTTTTTTTCCCTTTTTGACAGAATAATAATATAATATATACATAGCCTAGGCTGGCATCAAACTTCTGATCTTCCTGCCTCAGTCTCCTGAGTGTTGGGATTATAGGCGTACAGTACCACACCTAGGCTAGACTCCATTAAACAAAAAAGCCCATGTTTCTGTGTGTGCAGGTGTGTGTGCCCACCTGGAGGGGTCAGCTGATAACTCCAGGTGCTGATCCTTGCCTTCCACCTTGCCAGAGACAAAGTTCCTTGATTGCTGCTGACTATGCTAGGTTAGCTAGCCCAGGACCAGAGGATTCCTGGTTCTCCGCCATCCCCTTCCCCCATCTCACCACAGGAGCACTGAGACTCAGCTTCAGTGGGTGCTGGGAATCTGAACTCAGGTTGGTAACAGAGTACAGCAAGTACTTTACTCTAGTCATCTCAGCCCCTCCACTCCCTGTCCTAGAGCTAGAGGTTGAATTTAGGAATTCACAGGTGTTGGGTAAGAGCTGTACTACTGATATTTCCCAACAAGCTTGATGACCTACACGGTGAAAGAAAACCATCTCCTACCAAGTTATCCTCTGGCTCCTACACATGCTCTGTCAGCATGCCTGTGCCCCTCTTTCCTCAAATTACTTTCAAACTTCAACCACTTCTCTGTCCTTATTGACAGCCAAAAGTTAAGAGCTTGTTTTTGTTTGTTTAACTCCCAAGAGTCAAGATCTTCATCTCTACAGATTGAAGAAAGTTGAAGGCTGGATGAGAATGCATATCCAGTTTAAACCTTACATACACAGAAGTTGCCCTGATGCCCAAATCCTTTCCACTCTAATAACCCTAGCAAAGAGAACAAACAGCCCAGGGGAATCTCCATGCTGAAGTGGCTCCTGGAGCAATTAGAAACTGCAATGGGACAGAGAGCTGTAGACTTCCAGTCTATCTGACTCCCAAGCTGCTCATTGGTTGTTGGGTATAGGGGATAGATAGAGCTTTGCAGATTATCTTCTGGGATAAGACTACTAGGGCTATGGATAGAGCATTTGCTTTGTTTCTGCAAGGCCCTAAGTTTTATCTCTAGCATGCTTCTTTCCCTGATTGGATGACGGTTAACATAAATTTTAAAAAGCTAAATGTGGTGGATATACCTGTAATCACAGCACTTAGGAGTCTGAGGAAGGAGGATCATGAATCTGAGGCCAGCCTGGACTACATAGTGAGAGTCTGGCAAAAATAAAAATAAATAAATAATAACCTCCAGAGCTATGGATAAAGAAGATATGGCTTATAAGACACAATGGATTTTTTTTCAGCCATAAAGACCAAAGTTTGTTATTTGCATAAAAATAGATGCAGCTGAATAAAATCATTTTAAGTAATCAAGTCAACCCCAGACATTGAATGTTTTCTCCAGCTTGTGGATCCTAGGCAGGCAAGTGTGTGGCATATTTTTTTAATGATTGATGTGGGAAGGTCCAGCCTAATGGTGGTAGTGTCACCTCTGGGCTGGTGATTCTGGATTATGTAGAAAGCCAGCTGAGGGAGCCTTGAGGGACAAGTCAGTAAGCAACAATCCTCTATGGTCTCTGCATCAACTGCCCCCCCCACCTGCTTCCTGTTTTGAGTTCTGATTCCCTTTAAACTCGCTTAATCTGAAATAAACCCTTTCCTCCCTTGTTTTTGATCATGGTGTTTTCTCATAGCAATAGAAAGCAAACCAGGACACAGTCCATCAGACCTGGAGGAGCTAGTCACATTGTATCTGTAGTCAAGAGCCAGAGTCAGATGCTTGCTCACTTTGCTTTCTCCATTTTATTTAATCTAGCATCCCTTGCCCAGGGAATGGTCCCTCCCACAATTAAAATGAATCTTCCCATATAACAAAGATACTCCTTAATAGACATGCCCAGACTATCACATCCTAAGTGAGTCTAGATTCCAACAATTTGACAACACTAGCCACTACACTGTCTATGGAAACACAGCAAACTAATGGGAAGGTGACAGCTTTAAAATGGGAGGGCAAGTGGGGTAAGGGGAGAAATATGCTCAAAGTGTGTGTGTGTGTGTGTGTGTGTGTGTGTGTGTGTGTGTGTGTATATATATATATATATATTTAGATGCAAATGTCCTTGTGCAACCCAGGACCATATACTATGAATACATGCCAATTAAAATATTAAAGGGCAAACAATAGTCTGATATGATTAAAAACCCCACGAACACACATTGATCTAGTCAATGCTCCCTGTTACCTTAATTAGCTGACCTAGTTTTCCAGTACGGTTCACTAAACAACTCCAAGTAAAGACAGTCTTAGCTGTGTTTGGTGAGGAGCCGAAAGGGAGGCTGAAGCCCAGTGAGGCACTAATCTTGCCTGATGTTTCTCCTAAGCTTGGGGCAGGAAGCACTTGGTCTGAGCCATCTAGACTCAGTTCTCAGTAAAGACAGACAGATCTGACATCACTTCCCTTGCAATGAACGTTTCTAGGCAGCCACATGCTTACTCCACACTCTTACTCCATCTGACTCACTCACTGAAGCCTTCACATCTTATTCTGTCAGCCAAAGCTACTGGACATGGACACTTGTTTCTGCCTTTGGGAGTGAGAATATTCATTGTTCATTTGGCCCTGGTGTTGTGTGTGCCTTGTCCTTTGAACAATGTGCTTTACCCCATAGCTAATGGGGCCTTGCTTGGGGACAACCCTGACTATGCCAATCCCCACTTGTCAGCCCTTTTGACCTCTCTGCTGGGATCCCAGCCAAATTGGATTATGTCTGAGTGGTTAGATGCCACAACTCATCGGTTTGAATTCAGTCACTTGTCATCAGAGTTGCACAACACAGTTGCCTAGCAAGATCTCACTCCAGGAGATTTATTTATTTATATATTTGTGTATTTATTTATGTGTGTGAGTTTGTGTGGTATTAGGGCCATGTGCACAGAGGTCAGAGGATCTGCCTTATTTCCTTGAGCCAGGGCCTCTTATTGAACCTGGCGGTAGGGTAGCAACTGCCAAGCCTCAGTGAGCCTCCTGTCTTTGCTCTGTACAGTGTTGGGATTACAGGGTGCATGTGGCCAAGCTCTCTGCCTTTTTAAAATGTGGGGCTGGGGATTTGAACTCAGGTCTTCAGGCTTGTGTAGCAAGCACCCTTACCCACTGAGTCACCTCCCTATCGAGATTTATAATGTGAAGATCCAAAGCATTCTGTGTTGGAGAGAGGCTTGCAATGTCCTGTGTGATTCTGAGAGAGACTGGTAGAGAATCACTGGTCCAGAATGAGCATTATAGGTAAGGGAGAGTGGAGTGTATTCACCTATATAAGGTATCTAGACAGTCATAGAATATTGGTTCATATAACAGAATGGTGATAGCTAGGAGCTGGGGGGGGGGGAGGGAGCTATGGAAATTGAATGAAGTTTCTATTATAGAAGACAAAAAGTTCTAGAGATCTGCTGTGTAAGATATCTCTGAAGTCAATGGTACAGTATTGTGTACTGTGTGTGTGTGTGTGTGTGTGTGTGTGTGTGTGTGTGTGTGTGTGTGTGCATGTCTGAGTGTATGTCTGTGTACCACATGTGTACCGGAACCTGAAAAGATCAGAAGACATTTTGGATTTCCAGGAACTGGGGTTGGAGTTGGTTGTTAACTACCATGTGGATGTTTGGAATAGAACCTGGGTTCTCTGTAAGAGCAGTCAGTGTGCTTAACCACTGAGCCATCTCTCCAGCCCCATATTGTGCACTTTAAAATATGTTAACAAGATGGATTTAAAGTGAACTTCTTAACACATTATGAAAACCCTAACAAACAGAACATCTTGCAAAGCTCCCCACAAGAGCATAAGGAAGTTTGAGAGGAGATGGGTGTACTAAGCACCTTAAGAAGGGCAATGGTACCAGGACTGTATGCAAACCTTTTGGCAGGGGGACTGTTTCCTTATGTGGCCTTGGCTGGTCTCAAACTTGTGATCCTCCTACCTCCACCCAAGTGTTGGGATTGTAGGAATACACAACAATACCCAGACAAATTTTTTCAGTAAATTTTTCTTTTCTTTCTTTTTTCTTTTCTTCAGTTTTCTTTCTTTCTTTTTTTCCTAAGACATACATAAAGTTAAAAAACAAAACAACAGAAACAAACTCTGGGTTGGAGAGATAACTTATTTGCTAACATGCTTGTTGTGCAAGCATGAGAACTGGAGTTTGGACCTCCAGTGTCCATATCAGAGCCTGGACAGCAGTAGCAGTCTATATCCCCAACACCTGCAGGCAGAGACAGATGGATCCCCAGAATCCAACAGCCAGTCAGTCTAGCCAACCAGTAAGCTCCAGGTTTAATGACAGATCCCATACTAAAAAATAAGGTGAAGCCTAGGGAGGACACCTGATGCCAATCTCTGTTCCCTTCCTCACAACACAAGTATGCACACACATCTCTCTCTCTCTCTCTCTCTCTCTCTCTCTCTCTCTCTCTCTCTCTCTCACACACACACACACACACACACTTGCTAAACACCCATCAGATTCTCTTGTAAATGAATAAATGAATGTAAGGTGTTGTGTGCAGCCGGGGTAGAGGTAGGATCTAATGTGAAAGATGACCTTCTTGCCCACAAGGGCACAGCCTTCCATGAG